GACCCCAGAATACAGTGTGCCAGACAGCCAGTAAGTTGTGGTAATGATGTCCCAATACATGGAGGTTTGGTTGTCATTAATTGGTCTAACTTTTCTACAAGCAGTTCAGAAGCTCTGTGTTTTAACTTAAAAGTTCACCTCTTAAAACGTTTTTGATAATGTAGCCTATGTTTAAAAAAAAAACTGAAGCTATTGTGTTTTGAAATTTGCACTCCCCCAAATTGCGATTTCGATATAAAAACGATTAATCTTCCAGCCCTAGGTAAATAATGAGAATCTAGAATTGGGAAAACAGGAAAGGCAGTAAATTGAAAATAGCGTCTAGTATGTAAAAGAAGAAATAATACAGCATTTTTAGTTTTATTATTGGTTTGGAGATTTTAAGAAAAAAAAATCTTGCATTATTAGTAGATTCAACAAAATTGTTTAGGTTAAAAGATTAACCTATAGAAGTAGTTGCTGCCATAGTTGTGGGTTTTTTTTTATTATTTAAAGGTTACAGCACCAGTCAGGAATTACATAACCAGTGCAGTAGCACTCAAGGACGACGTACCAGTGAAGACTTGCACATTTTTTATTTTTCCGTGCAGTCTTGTGGCATTGGCACTGAGAGAAGGCCTTTAAAGATCCTCCAGTTGCAGTGGTCCTTAACTGAGTATCGTAATGCCAAAAAATCTCTCAGTCTCTGGTTGTGAGGATTTCAAACCGCACTTCTCCATCTGTCACGGCCCTTGATTCTGTCGGTGAAGGACGTGGTGCTCCTTCACTCAGATTCCTCTGGCTTCCTTGGAGGAAAGCTGTCACTCAAATGTGCTTTCCTCTGTAATGACCCTGTTGCCATGGAGACCGTTGTCACGCTAGCAGGAGGCGGGAGGCTGCAGGAAAGCTGTGGTGTTAATATGTATGTCAAGCAGAGTGTTAAGGAGAATAATGGCTTATAAGAGACAAATAATCATGGCTTGGCTCAGACGGAGGTCAGGGGTGGAGAAAAAATGCTCATTATCCTGGACTTGAGGGCACCAAAGTCACCCAGCTCTGCAACTACTGAATGAGTACTTTGTTTCTTGGCGGGGGGGGGGCGCGTTTGGTTTTTTGTGTGCCAAACTACCATTTCATGCGCAAAGAAGAGATTCTCGTATTACAGCACATGTCGCAACGCTCTGCCTGTCAGGAGCTGTTCAGGTTCAGTGCGGTGAGTGTTCAGTGTGTAGGATCTGACAGCTGCGGAGAGCGGGCTCTTTGCCTCATCGTTTCAGTTTAATCTCACAAGAGCCCATGGCAGGCAGAACCTTTTTGGCCCAAATACCGCTGTGTTAAACGTGGAGCGGCTTGTGTTATTAAGGTCAATGGAAAATTCCATTGCGAGTTCTGAAAAACATGTTTGTTTCCTGGGAATTTAACTCTTCCTGGTTCCAGCACCTGAACGTGGTGAAGGGAAATACAGCAGAGACAATATCGACATCATCACCACATAAAATGACTCCAGCTCCTGCTGTTCATCACTGATACAGGGGGGAAAAATGGCTGTTAGGGTCCCCCCCAGTTCCCTGTGCTTATGGAGATGTAATGCAGTATTTAAGCAATAGAGCACAAGATGCAGTGTGCTATTGCGAACAACATCACAGCCTTGATGTACACACTCCCTTTCGTCTTCTAATGCTTTTATTCCACAGTTCTGCAAAATAAAGAAAAAGATGTAGAAAATAATCTCCCAACATTGTACCAAATGTGAATTAATGGGGGCAATTCCTTTCACCACCTTCAGGTGCAACCTCATTTTTTTTTTGTCAGTATTTGCTAGATTAACCTAAATGAGGTATTTTGGCCGTCTGTAAAGGATCAGAGTTGTACTTTGTTCATTTCCGGCTAATTCCAGGTAGTTTAGTTGCTCCACAGTCATAGCTGTTGACCAAAAAATGTGCTCCGGAGCAACGACACGTTGGAAATTTGATGTAGGACAGCTGTCACACTCTTCAGAATCTAAACAAACAGGCTGCTGATCAAATATTATCCTATGTAATATGTCAGTATTCTGTTTTTATACATACAACATTTAAATACGATTATTTTTAGTCTAGTCTTATTTAAAATATTGCCGTAATTTGGTTTATTTAGCTTGCAATTTTACCGTTTTTATGATCTTTTTTATTTTTCTTTTACTCTTTTTTTCTTTTGTGTGTTTTTGCTTTTACTACTTAATTTTACTGTTTGGTTGTAAAGCATTTTAAGCTGCTCCGTGTATGAAAAGTGCTTTATAAATAAAGTATTATTATTTTACTTTACTTTTTAATAATACTTTATAAATAAAGTATTATTATTATTATTATTATTATTATTATTACTATTATTATAACTGCAGTGTAAAGTGAGTTGTTGCTTAGCAACCGGTGCTCAGATGAATGATAGTTATTGTGAAATAACCATGCTGTTTTTTTTACAAATAACAGCACATGTAAATCACCTCTCAATGAATTAAATTGTGTTGCTGGAAAGAACTGTCATAAAAGATACAACATCGATATCGTTGTTGTGATAAATTGTCATGTTACGTCACAGAATATGCTCAGAAAAGCATATTGTGTATTCAGTACTAAAAGAAAACTGACCAACTGCATGTTTGGTTGCAAAGACATCATAATTATTCCTGTGTAACTGGATTTTCTGCAGTACAGTATGAGAAATAAAATCATTGTATTTATAGTTTTTGATAGAATTTTTTTATATGACACTACTCGTTCTTTTTGTCTGCTCCAACTTGGCGAACGTCAAAGTAAATATTGTGATGCGTATCAAGAAAATGTGTCATGATGCCATAAACTGATCAGGCATAACATTATGACCACCTCCTTGTTTCTACGCTCATTGTCCATTTTATCAGCTCCACTTACTATATAGGTGCACTTTGTAGTTCTACAGTTATAGACTGTAGTCCATCTGTTTCTCTGCATACTTTGTTAGCCCCCTTTTACACTGTTCTTCAGTGGTCAGGACCCCCATGGACCCTCACAGAGCAGGTACTATTTGGATGGTGGATCATTCTCAGCACTGCAGTAACACTGATGTGGTGGTGGTGTGTTAGTGTGTGTTGCGCTGGTCTGAGAGGATCAGCTACACCTCAGTGTCACTGCTGGACTGAGAACAGTTCACCAACCAAAAATATCCAGCCAAAAGTGGTCTGTGGGCAGCGTCCTTTGACCACTGATGAAGGACTAACAGAGTGGACAGTGAGTGGACACAGTGTTTAAAAACTCCAGCAGCACTGCTGTGTCTGATCCACTCGTACCAGCGCAACACACACTAACACACCACCACCACATCAGTGTTACTGCAGTGCTGAGAATGATCCACCACCCAAATAGTACCTGCTCTGTGAGGGTCCATGGGGGTCCTGACCACTGAAGAACAGTGTAAAAGGGGGCTAACAAAGTATGCAGAGAAACAGATGGACTACAGTCTATAACTGTAGAACTACAAAGTGCACCTATATAGTAAGTGGAGCTGATAAAATGGACAATGAGCGTAGAAACAAGGAGGTGGTCATAATGTTATGCCTGATCGGTGTATTACTGCACTCACCCACCCTTACATTACTATTACCAGTTAACTGTCCACAAACAAAAGGATCGCTGCCTGTATTGTTTTCCATTTGCAACTCATCTGTAGATGAATGTGTAGTTATGTTAGAGTGTGGTTCCAGTGTTTCAGGGCCCTGTGCAGCAGAACTTTAGATGTGTGATGAAGGAGGGCCACTCATCCAGCGTGTGCATTTGGGAGCCACGAGACCATATAAGTACGACTGGCTTTACGGCCAGATCCCCGTGGGGTCCGTCCGTGCCTCTCCATCGCAGGCTCTCCTCACACAGATAAGCTGTGGTGGGCACTCCAGGACTAGCTGTGAGCTTCCCTGGAGTGTGGGGGAGGGGAGGGAGGGTGAGGACTATGAGCATTGACAGATGGAACGCGAAGTGGAGTGAAAGAGCTGTCTTTTATCTCCCTTGCTCATCTTTCGAGTCCACGTTTGTTAATGCAGTTGGTCTGCCGCCATCCTTCAAGGTGAAGGAGTCAAATAGATTAATTGAGGTAGTCGCCCATAGTCTGCAGAGGGAGATCACAGCTGGATGCTTCTGGAGCCTCAGCGCTGCCTGGAGAGACTGTGTGAGTACCACTGCATGCTGTTGACAAAGGAAGTGGGCTTGTTTGAAGACGCACAGGATAATACGGCCAGCACATGTTGGGTGTTGAGCTGGCTTTTTGGGGGCAGGGTCCTACTGTGGTCAATTTCTCTTCTTGAAGGGTTTTTATAATATAGATTTGGATCTCTTCTGATCAACTAGGAGATTCCTAGGAGATTTTTCTCATTTTTTAATGAGCATTTTGATGTTTTCTAATTGTTTGTGGACTTTTAGCTTCTCTGTAAAGCTTAGTCTCATTTATTTTGTGGGCTTGTTGGTGTAAAAGAGTACATCTCAAACAATAATGCGTGACAGTTATATTTTCTCTCTTTCTTTTCTTTTTTAAAATCAAAACGCTATGTGAGCTGTTTTGCTAGCACACAATGGCCCCAGGCCTATATATTGTACAGTACCTTGTTGCTGCACGTATTTTGTTTAATTTCACTGAGTCTACTCATTTAAGGTACTGTGACAGAATGAGTCCTGACAGTATCCTCAGGGAAACTGTGACCAGGCCTGACTATTCTTGCCCTGCAGAATGGATTTGGGTTGCTATTAGCTCCGTTCACTGGACCCTAGCGTCACTCGATATTTAATACCCCAGTTAACATGGAGCGCCTGAGAAATGTGATCATGGTTCATCAGATTATGATTAAGTGATTATGATTAGGGCCTGTATAATTGGGGCATTCTTTTTGCATTGTGGAAAAGCGTTTGAAACCCCTTGTACACAACAGCGAGCATGTTTTTGCACCTTTTATACAGCTTTATGAAGTACTTGACTTACTTCAGTGATGAGGCTAATAAATCCTGTATCTTTTCTTGTAGAAATCAAGAACAAGCGGATGATCTAGAAGGACACACAAGTTTTCCTCCAGATAAGGTACAGTTGATATTTCATTTAGCTCCGATATACTATTTGTATCATTTAATTCAGCATATTAGCTTACATTTTGTTGCTGTCCGTGAAAGAAAGGGTCTCTGTATTATTATTTTTCTACATCATTTGAGCACAGCGGCGGCCCTTTACATTGTATGAAACTTGCATGATGAATAGGTCAATAGAAATGCTCCAAAATTACTTGGAGTGAAATTTTAATTACATTAATGTACATTAAAGTTAAGAATATTTTTTGCCTTCTCCTAAAAAAAAAAAAAAGTGACTTTTGGCCATACTTGTTTTCTGTTGTTGTCTGTTTTGTTTTGTTTGTTTGTTTTTGGGTCATACCGCCTGCTGTAGAGGCTTGTAGATCCATTTCTTGAGCTCGTAGCACTACAGTTCAGACTTTTCTTTGTTCTAACACTTCTAGTTGACCACAACAGCCTACTTATGAAGCTCTTTGGGAGTTCAGGTGTCATTGGAGCTGGGAAGAATTGAACCTGTGTTGCACTGTGGCCTTGCACTGCACTGAACCGTGCTGCCCTACTAGAGACTTGATTGTTTAGCATTTACACAAAGCCCTGTAACAACTAGCAGTATGTTACTGCCACGTCACCTGTGACCTCTAGAAAACAAGCAATTTGAAGCCTTAAAAATAGTTAAATTGTGCATATTACAGTTCAACACCAAGCAAGTGCAACAGTCAGCCACTTTAATACCCTATTTATAACATCCTCTACTGCCTCCAGTTTGCTGTGAAGACAATATACAAAGGATTAAAGTGCTTTTTGAGCTGAGATTCATCTCAGACTTATTTTCACACCATTTTTTAATAAACTGGTCCTATAAATTACTTGTTTATTCAGTCCAAAAGTGCCTCCTGTAGTGAAAATGATTTTACTTTTATCAAATCACAGTGGGGTGCAAGTGGAGGGCATTTAGATTAAATTCTGTAATTGAATGCTTTCTGCACTGAGAATGTAAATAGCTTTATGATTCAGTGAAAAAAGCTCGGTTAGACATAGCAGTGATATCTGGTCCTGTCTTCGTGGGAGGCCTCATCACTGTATCAGTTTGCTGATCTTAAGGTCCCACAGATTTATCAGTATCAGTGCAAAATTCAACGATTTATTTGTACATCTTTGTTTGCAAAAAGATAAATGCTACATGGCTGTATGCGCCAGTGAAAGGCAGAGCATTTATTCTGTGGTTGTTCTTGTTTTACTGTGAGCCAATTAAAGTGACGGGTGTTCCTCTTACGGGCATTCTTGTCTCAGGAACGCCCTTCACTGCAATTTGACTCTATTGTTTAAATTTAAATCAGGTGTGCTTAGATGTGTGTTGGTTCTGAACTCTACAGTTTAATGAACACTTTCAACAGGCAACATTGAGTGCGTTTACATGCACTTAATAATCCAATAACTGTAGAAAATCAGGTTTTTTTTCAGTAGAAGATGAAGAATATTTAAATCCTTCATTTCATGTTTGGTTTCAGCGCCTCTTCAAAAGGGTGTTGCTGCGTCTCACGGCAACGCTGTTTGCTTATTTCTGGTACTGCCGTCGCTTCTTGCACAGACTGAGAAATCTGAAAGAAATCAGAGTAAGAGTTTACATGCACTGAGAAATCTGATTACTGAGCTAAAATCCAACTCTCTTTATCGGATTTCTTAATCAGATTTCTAGATCGGAGTATGGTGTTTACATGACCATTTTGAATAATCGGATAACTGCAGAAATACGGTTATGGTCGGATTATTAAGTGCATGTGAACTCATTCATTCAGCAGTCCCTGATTACATTTATTTATATGATTAAAATATTAAATGGTACATCTTGAAGATGAATTCACAACTTGTAACAAATGTGATCTCAACCGTATTTACTGACGAGCATTTAAAGAGGATTTCCTGCTCGGTAAAATTTTTTTTTTTTCTCATTAATTTTCCAGGAGGTTGTCTCGTGACTTGCCATGCTGAAAGAAAAAGTATGTGGAGGTGTTGTGTGATTTCCAACATACTTCCTGATTTTTAACTCGCCAGGCCTGTCAAAACTTACCATCCGGTAAATCTGGAAACTGATCCGGACTGTGGTTCCCCTTTAAACCAGGAAGAAAGTTTTCTTTCATCTTTGGCAAGTTCAAAACAATCTCTCAACATTCCAGGAGCAGATAATGAGAGGAAATTCTAAATTAAATTGTTTCTGCATAGAGTTATCCTCAAACCAGTCAGAAATCTAGTGCTTTTGTCATGCTAAAATAAAAGTTTGAGCGCTACATTATGGAGAAACTAAAGTAGTTATATATAATATCGCTGCTGTTGGAAGAAAACCTTGTATCTTGTTGTTTTTCGTTTTTTGACTTAGTTTTAAAATGCCTGTTACCCTTTACATTGTGTGTAAATTTCATGAAGAATTGACCAACAGAAACGGCCCAAAATTACTCGGAAAACGGTCTAGTTCCATTGATCTACATTAAGTTATCATTTTGGAGAGGAATCATTTTTTTCCTCTGTGATGTGATATATGTATGTGTGTGTGTGTGTGTGTGTGTGTGTGTGTGTATTGATAGTGATAGGAACCAGATGTCCACAGAGTTTAGTTCCTCTAAAACAGGGTGTCCACAAAGAGCAAGTGTGGCTGCAGGTTTTCATTCCAACAAAGCAGGAGATCACCTGATCAGCAGTTTGAAGACTGAGACCAGCTGATTGAATTAGTGGAGTCAGGAGTGCTCCAGCTTGTTTGGGGTGAAAACCTGCAGCCACACTGGCCCTCTGCAGAAAAGATTGGACACCTCTGCTCTAAAAGCTGCCCTACAAAGTTATTATATTAAATAATTGAGATTCTACCTGATGCCAGACATCGGCCCTTAATTATCAAAGTTGCGTAAAAAAGAGTGCAGATTTGTCTGCTTTTAATGACATACAGACTACTCTGCGTCTGATTCATGAAACTTTGCTAGGACATGGAAACAAGTGGAGATTTGAGTGCAAATGATTAATCAGCTTCAGTGCGTCAAAATCAACTCCCCACCTACCTATGCCTTATTTGCATATCATTTATATGAAGCACGTCCTAATTCATGCAGATGTTTGGTAGGAAGTCAATAAAATGACAGCATTCAGCGACTAATGAGCTAATACTTTTTAGGTGGTAGAATGATGTGTGGTGTGATTATTTTCATAAAATAATGTCGTGAAATGCTGTGTTATTGCAGTGTATGAGATGCTTCTACACTAGCTGCGTTTTATATTGTTTTTATTGGGCAGTGTCAGTACTATAAAACAAAACCACAATGTAATATGCCTTTAAATTGAATGTGATATATTTGTTTATCAATATTCATGTAAAGTAAGTACATTCAGTATTAAATAATAAATAAGTAGAATTATCATATTTTTTTACTTTTATTCTTGCTGGTGGTATCATAGATAAAGATTTTGATCAGGCATTTTTTCAGGATGTTTAACGTTTATGCTAAGATTTATACACAATTCTACCAGACGTGAGTTTGGTTGTACAAATACGTCAGAGAAGTTGATCAATTATAAAACTGTCAGTGAAACTTGTGCATGCTCTTTTTTTTTTTATGATCAGATTTGATGATGCGTAACTCTGATGAATAAGGGTCGTTGTTTTTTTTTTCAATATGCTTGTGGCTTTAAACAGATTTTTAAGACACAAAAGTTTTAAAAAAGGGCAAAAAAGGCACCTAAGGCAAAATGGTAGTAAATCTTGAAAGGGGGGGGGGGGAAGTTTTACTGGGAACTATTTTACCATTTTCAACACTACATGTAAAAAAAAAAATAAGAAGGGTTGTGTAGAATCACTGGTCATTTTGCAATGTAAATAAAATGGCTATATATTAGTGTTGTGGATATAGAGACCCCTGGGTCCTGTCACCACCACTCTAAAGGAGTCAGCAAGTTTCTCTACAATGAGCCATTTTGCATCAAACCATTTTCAGTGAGTTTGTATACAATTCACCAATTGAGTAATGCAGAAATGTTGAAGTTCCTCTTTAATGAGTCACTCATAACTCAAAACCAGATTTGCTTCTCTATTTATATACTATTTTTAATCTTTTTAGCCCTCACAAGTTACACTTTGGTCCCCCAAGACAAAACATTTGGGCCCTCCTGGTCTTAGATGCATTAACCATGAAGTTGTCTTGAGTGGCAACCCCTCACCAACTTTCCTTCTTCTTAAATTTATCGCACAAAACACACCTGAAGTGAAGCAAAACTCCCTCAAATTCTGTGCTCGTTTGCAGCTTTTTGGCTCTGGTGCGCGTATGAAGGACGTACTGTGAGTGCTGTCAGACTCAGGGAACATGTTGAAGGTTATTATCCTCCACAAACAGCCTGCCAAGGTCCTTCACTCCACAGGGTCACCTCATTAATGACAGGTCAAGTACTTAAAGCGTGTGTGTGTGTGAGTGCGTGTTCACTCGCAGGCATGCTTGATTATAAACATGCCTTTCAACGTGTGTGTGTCCGGTTTTGTCTGAATGCACACGTGTCCTAGAACACATTCGCTTTTCTCAACCTGCCACCTTTACGATTCCTTTAGTGTAACTAACAGGCCAAACACACATGGGTGTGTGTACAACGCTTTCAAATCAGCAGACGTATTTAGCTTGCTGGGTCTGTAACACTTTCTCACATTTTATGTTCGAATGTTGTTCTGGCAGCTGGAATAGCAAAGGTGTGACAGGAAGCGTTTTTGAATCTGCAGCACCCATTGTAACCTGGTTAACCACAGACAAAAGAGACGCTGTCATCTTCACATCCTCTTTTGCAAACGTGCACCTTCAGACTTCTCATTAAACGTCAGCTTCGGGGCTGATTGGCTGTTTTTTCCAGTCTCTTGCAGCTTATGTGCTTATACAAGCATTCACTCGCATCTCGTGCATGCACTGTGCTGCGTTTTAAAATGCCGTTAAATGGCTGATCTGTTAGCTTTATCCAAACACAAAGAGCAGATTTTTCTTGACATGAGTCAACTGTCCTGTCTGAATTAGTAATTTGTGATTTCAGCAGTGATTCCACGTAGAAAAGCCTTTTCAGTCTAGGCTTAAGATTAATCTTGGTCTGTGAAACCAGCCCATAGTCTGTGTTGGGCTATTTTTAAAATGGGGAAAAAAATAATTAAAATAATAACATACATAGCAGTTACAATGATAACACATGTTTATAAATATGCAATGACAGTTGTTCATTTAGCTTATTTTTTTTTTTTAGTTTTAGCGTTTGATCTTTAAATCTGAGAATATAATAATTAATAGTTATTAGGTTTTTTATTAATTTATTTCTTAAGAGTTAATGATCTTTAAGTTAATTACCTTTTGCAATTTAATGATTGCCACACCAGTCAGCCAGTCTGACACCTGCAGCGAGAACAGTGCTGTAAATAAGCCAGAATTATCAGTCTATTATCAGTGGTGAAAAGGTGTTACTGAGGAACATTTAATTAAAACTATCGATCATCTGGAGTGAGGTGTAATTTTGAATCTGAAGCTGAAAGAGTTTTGAATCAAAACTGTGCTCGTACTCACGCCTCAATGTCAAAGCTGTTAACAGACTAAGTTAAGCTAAAACCTATCTGGAGTACTGTACTTGCAAAGCGCTGTTGTCGGAAAGAAAACCTCATATCTCCTAAAATGGTAACTTTACAGGAGAAGGAAGAAACTACTTTACTTTTAATGTAAGTCAATGGAACCAGACTTTTTCCCAAGTCATTTTGGGCCGTTTCTTTTGGTCCATTCATCATAAAAGTACGTACAATGTAAAGGGTAACAGGTATTTTCAAATTATGTCAAAAACTGAAAAACGTCAAAAATGGAGATACGAGGTTTTTCTCCTGACAGCAGTGAAATACACATTTTATTACGACCTCTAACAGCAAGTAACGTTACAGAGCAGCGTTAATTAAGAGAGCTTTTCTGCTGTTTAGCTTAGCTGTTGACAGTTTGATAAATGAGATACCTTTGTGATCAAAACATAGGTAAGAATAATATTAATGCACTCATAATTAAAGGATTGCTGGACATAGCAGCAATAAATAAGGGAGGCAGGATGAGGAAACGTGTGTAATTTAGCTGTACAAACTGTGACTTTACCTCTGAACTGTGTCTGAAGATGTGATGCATCAATACTAGAGCCTATTACTTTGCAGGTGTGCCCTCTACTGGACTCTAAAGGTTTTACACCGACTAACACTACTGCTTCAGACCTGTCGGTATTTTATTTTTGCATAGGCAGTGAAGCGATAACTTACACTGAAGCTGTCAGCATCGCTTATATCTAACGTTCAGTAGTCTTGTTTACTTGGAATCAAACTGCCAGCCATCTCTTGTGGGCAAAACCAGTTCTGCTACCTAACGACTGCGGTTACTCCGATCAAGGTTGCAGATGCTGGTTTACATCACATTGTTTCCTAGCTGCTTTAGTTTATTCTGAAAATGTAATCCTCAAGCAATAAGGCAGCATGAACCACCAACACATGCAGAATTTCAGCAATTTATTTCCGAAATGCTGTCATGTACTTAAACTTTCATGCTGTCTTTACACATATTGAGATGTTGCGCCTCAGTAGTGTTCATTTTCCTTGGTACACACACACACACACACACACACACTCAAGATGCTGTGGCATCTGCACATTATTCTGTTAAATGTACTAAAAGAATGTAATGGGAGCATTCCCTTCAGACTTCTCCCCTCAGAAAATATAATGTTATGGATTTGCAAAAAAAAGATAAACTGATATCGTGCTTCTAGCTTGTGCTAAAGAATGAACTGTTCCTCTTTGAAATGGGCAGTTGACTCTTTGGATGGGCAATATTATGATAAATTGTGTCATACACTTCTAGCATGTCATGGATGTTCTCAGCACAGACAAATTGCCTGTTTCATTACAAAGAGAGCATAATTAGTCCTGTTTTAATTGAATGTAGTGCAGCACAGTTTGAATTTCTACATATAAATAAAATTGTTGTATTCATAGCTTTGGTAGTATTTTTAATTGTGGCACTACACTGTTCCTACGTATCAAACCTCAGAAAAATGAAATATTGTGATGCAAGAAATTTGCAAGTCATGTTCTGTTTGGGCATTTCGGAGCTGGGCATTTGGTCTTTTAAATCTGAGTATTTTTAAGTTATTTTTCCACTGAACTCTTGGCAGCTAAATAAATAAGCACAGTATTCTTTGGTGACTGAGTCACATGCTGTTTGATGAGATTGTTTTATACCTTTTTACATTTGTTTCATTCATTTCTTTTTACCATTTTATATCTTGATCAGGTTTGCTGGAATGGGTAACCTTCTAAAAGTCCTTACGAGAGAAATAGAGAACTATCCACATTTTTTCCTGGACTTTGAAAGTAAGTTTGAATGAAGGTGGAGTCAGAGGGTGAAGCGTGTTAACCACTAATCTTTTTCCTTCACAGATGGGGAAACCAAACTGCCCTGTCTGAATGCTCTCGTGGTGTACGTTACCTTGCTGTTTTTCTTGGTTAACGCTGGTGAAAAATATTCTTTGTAATTTTGACTCTAAAAATAAACTCACCCTCTCAATTCTTAAACTCAAGTTCAATTTCAAACAGTTGTGTTCACCAAGAAAAACAAAGGTCTACGTGAGAGGGATCAGTCCTTGCGGCAGCGAGTTCAAAGCAAAGGCCTGTGATTTTACTGTCCATGATATGCAACACCTCTCTTTCTCTCTCTTTGTGTTTCTCTGTCTCCTCTTGCTCTTCTGTTCCAGAAACCAAATGGGGAATCTTTTAAAAGTTCTCACTTGCACAGAACTTGATCAGGGGCCAAACTTTTTCCTTGACTTTGAAAGTGAGCAGAGCTTTTGCCTGGCCTGGTCTCCATGTCACTCCCGCTTGGCTACTAACCTCCTGCATGTCTCATCCTTCCTAGTGTGTGTGTTTGTGTGTGTGTAAATCTGCTCATCATAGTCCTGTCGCAAACATGCATGAACATACATTTCTTTAAAATGAAGTAACCTTTGCTGAAAGGACTGTACTTAGAATTCCCCGAAGCATTTGCATGTGCAAATACTATTTGTGCAAATTAAAACATTGCAAGGTGGTATTTTGTGTGGTTTTGCATGTGTTTTGCACATGCAAATTCCTACAGTCCAGTACTGAAGACAAAAACGAAAGACGTTATACATATTTTGGGCATCTCTTTTGTTATCTGCAACATAAACTGTGCATGAGCAGCTGAATTATTTGTAACTAACCATTTAAAATCGTCATTAAAGTGCTGATAACTGGCTGTATTGTATTTTTGTTGCATGGCAGAATCTGCACAGTGATGTACTCATTGTCCTTTATCTACAGATACTACTTCATCTTGTCTTTATGTTCCCTCAGTTTGCATGGCATCTTTTAAAGCTCTTTCACTCTGAAATCCCAACCTATCAAACATTTTAATACTAACGCTAATGCAGGTGCTACACATATCTGGTAGATGTGATGCTGAATTCTGTTTTCACTTTATCCCACAACAACCCTGTGTTCATTTTAAAAATACTGAGTGCAGTTTTGGTCCTGGAGGGCTGGCGTCCAGCAAAGTTGGGTCAAATACAATTGAGCATACATAATTGAACACTGTTAATTGCCAGATTTAGCATGAGTTTAGCACTGTAGCACTACTAGTTTTACATGGGGATGAGGTAAACATTGCCTGCTGCCTTTTTCTTTTTGCCTGGTGGCCCTGCACACAACATTTTTTATTGTAGCCACTGAAAGTGCAGAGCCTGTGGACCAAGTAGCCGTTCTGGAGATTTATTTTTGTTCTTTTTCCAATTTAACGAACCTGGTTTGTCTGACATGGAACTAAGCAGACCTGTACGCCAAGTTTCATAGATGCTGTTCATTGCATTGGCTAAGGTGTGTGTGTGTGTGTGTATATGTATGTGTATATATATATATATATATATATATATATATATATATATATATATATATATATATATATATATATATATATATATATATATATATATATCACACACACACACCTGCATGCATGTGGAAAAACATGTTTCTATTACTCTGGCCACAGTTCTTAATTCTTAATTTTGTCCACACTGTTAATTTGCTTGGTAGCCCTAGTGACCAGTGAATAATTTGTAAAAATTTATTTGCATGTGGAGGTGAGGTAGTGTTTCTAGTGATTCCACAAGATTCCAGCAACTTTTACCTTCTAAAAAATGAACCATAAAAAAATTATAAATGACACCAGGTTATATTAATCCAGTATGAATTTCCATGTCTGTAAATATACCATCATGTCCTGTCGAAAAGGAGTTTTTGCGTTTTGGTGGCGAATAAAACATTATTTGAAGGCACAGAGAAAAAGAAACAGAATAAAATGGCGCAATACAAAACATTTTAATAAGTTCAGTATAATACGTTGCACTAAACACTTAACTTAGTGCTCACTTAAATGCTGTAAAATATAAAAGGGCATAAAAAAGTAATTTGTTTAAGCCAATATGTATTTCCTATGACTCTGAAAATTATAAAACATAAATATGAGCTATACATTCCCATTGTAATTTCATTTAGGAGAGTTAGGTGGAAGGGTTGGAGAAAAGAAATTATGATTAAATTAAATGTTTGGACATGGTTTCTACCTCTGAGCAGCAGGACATATTGCCTATGGAACTTGTATTGGTTTGACAGCAGTGTGGAGCCAGTGAGTCGCCGCTCACATCTCTGTAATTACACCTTGATTTCTTATCCCGTTTGAATCATAAACATTGCAGGCGCCCTGTGATTTAAAATTATATTACTCCACCTCCCCATGGAAAACTAACCCTGTCCAAGTAGTATTTTTGAGTAGAGAAATTACCAAACTATGCTGAGCGCCGACCCTCCAGGACAATAGTTGAGTACCCCTGTTCTAGATACATATAGATACCTGTGAGTAGCCAAATCCATTGTACTGCATAATAATGTACTGCATTAGTTACATTGGAGTGTTATTGGTTGGAGATTGTGAATCAGTGTTATGGATGGTTTATGAAAACTCGCCACCATTTTCATTTGGCTCATAGACACTTGTCACCGTTTCCATTTGGCTCATAGAAAAAAAAAATCTAATTTTAATTATTGCATATGTGACTATATTTCTTGCATATTGTATGCTGCTACCTTTGCAGTTAATCTTTTGTATGGCAGTTGTATAACAGTTTCTCTTTTATCAGACGCACAGCCGACAGACTGTGAGCGAGACGTGTGGAACCAAGTGAACGCTGTGCTCCAGGAGTCTGAGAGCATCCTTTCAGGCCTGCAGGCTTACAAGGGAGCAGGACAGGAGATACGAGATGTATGTTACACACAAACACACCATACATGCACACACAAGTACATAGTGTACTTTCGTAATCTGAGTGACTTTTGTATCCATGTATTCTTTGACCTAGAGATGCACAAGTAATCATATTTTAATAATAATGACTTTTTTTGCATCCTCAGTCAAACAAATATAACAGTAGTGATGCATTTAGTTACTTGGCCTATAATAGATTATTTTTAATGACTGGTCATTACCTGCTACCACATGCTTGTGTTTCTGACAAAAACTGTTATCAAAAACTTTCTGCCTTTTCTATATAAGCCTAAATCCCTTTTATTGGGTTGCTTACTGTTGTAACATATATATCAGGTCTAAATTTGTTTACAGCTAGCATTTAAAAAATGCACTCAGAACCAGCCTTATTTTTGTTTGAGATATACACCCATTAGCCATAACATTAAAACCACCTCCTTGGTTCTACACTCATTGTCCATTTTATCAGCTCCACTTACTATATATGTGCACTTTAGTTCTGCAATTACAGACTGTAGTCCATCTGTTTCTCTGCATACTTTGTTAGCCCCCTTGTTCTTCAGTGGTCAGGACCACCATAGGACCACCACAGAGCAGGTACTATTTGAGTGGTGGATCATTCTCAGCACTGCAGTGACACTGACGTGGTGGTGTGTTAGTGTGTGTTGTGCGAGTGGATCAGACACAGCAGTGCTGCTGGAGTTTTTAAACACCTCGGTGTCACTACTGGACTGAGAATCATCCACCAACCAAAAACATCCAGCCAACAGCGTCCTGTGACCACCGATGAAGGACTAGAGGATGATAAGCTCATACTGTACAGCAAGAGATGAGCTGTCGTCTCTGGCTTTACATCTACAAGGTGGACCAACAACGCAGGTGCGTCTAATAGAGTGGACAGTGAGTGGACACAGTGTTTAAAAACTCCAGCAGCACTGCTGTGTCTGATCCACTTGTACCAGCACAACACACCACCACCACCACGTCAGTAGCATTGCAGTACTGAGAATGATCCACCACCCAAATAGTACCTGCTCTGTGGTGGTCCAGTGGGGTCCTGACCACTGAAGAACAGGGTAAAAGGGGGCTAACAAAGTATGCAGAGAAACAGATGGACTACAGTCTGTAATTGTAGAACTACAAAGTGCACCTATATAGTAAGTGGAGCTGATAAAATGGACAATGAGTGTAGAAACAAGGAGGTGGATTTAATGTTATGGCTGATCGGTGTATATTGACGTGTATGTGTAATATAAATGTGTAGTATAATAAATTTGGATTTCAGTAATGATCACAAGTATTTTGGTCATTACTGAAATCCAAATTTATTATACTACACATTTATATTACACATACACGTCAATATACACCGATCGGCCATAACATTAAATCCACCTTGTTGCATGCATTTCTACATGGATTACTGTTTTCATAACATTGTTTATATAATGGAATATGGCACGTTTTTCAGAATAAAGAGGTCATGAACTTCATTTTGAATTTGCTCTCAGGCTATACAGAATCCTAATGACTTGCTGCTTCAGGAGAGGGCGTGGAACTCAGTCTGTCCTCTTGTCATTCGACTCAAGAAGTTTTATGGCTTTTCGCTGAAGCTGGGTATGTTCACTGCACTTGTACCTTCTGATCCTTTTAAATCTGAACCATGCGCCACACCTGCCTGATAGGTTTTCTCCTTTCATCCACACAGAGAAAGCTCTACAGAGCCTGCTGGAGTCTCTAACCTGTCCACCATACACTCCCACTCAGCATCTGGAGAAGGAGCAGGCCCTTGCCAAACAGTTCGCCGAGATCCTGCATTTCACCCTTCGCTTTGATGAACTCAAGGTGCTCCTAACTCTGCCTCTAACACACCAGCCAGCGAGATACTTTCAATAACCTCAAAACTTTAAGTGTAGCAAAATAAACAAATGGATGGTTCCACTGTTTTTGAAAATTGCTGATTAAAACTTTTGTTGCTTTTTCAGATGAGAATTCCTGCCATCCAGAACGACTTCAGCTATTACAGAAGAACAATCAGTCGGAACAGAATAAATAACATGAACGTAAGAAATTCAGTTTAAGAGGAATAAAGCAAACTCACAAATTTTTACAGAACCAGTGCACTGAGCTGTGCTTTTCTCCTTTTCTGTAGTTGGACATTGAAAATGAAGTCAACAATGAGATGGCAAACAGAATGTCTCTCTTCTACGCTGAGGCCACTCCAATGCTGAAAACACTTAGTACAGCAACAACAAACTTTGTGACCGAGGTAATGCATGTCTCTGTTTATCCCAGGGGTGTTTAACGTGAGTCTTGGAGGACACCTCTCCTTTATCGCAACTATACTGGACATTATAACTAGCATCTTAAATACTGCTAGATGTCACAAGGTCTATACAGATGTTGTGATCACTTATAGCCAGGTGACATTTCCATGTTGTCTGTGTGGATTTTACATTTTCAAACGAAACTTGTTTGGTTCATTTTGGAATTTCAGCCACAAGTTGTCATTTTAAACTTTAAAAGAACCCTTTGGTAAGTTCAGACCAGGGGTCGGCAACATGCGGCTTTGGAGCTGCATGCAGCTCGTTAACTGCCCTGTTGCGGCTCCACAGCAGAATTAGATCTCGCCTAACTAGTAGCTAACGAAATGTCAAAGATAAAGATTTAAGACAAATATAACTTGGAGATAAATTAACCTATTTGCATTTATAAGCAAATAAGGTTTCCTGATACGTTTATAATCTGCGACGAGAAACTGTCACACTAAAACGTCACAAAGCTGAAGTCAGTTTCTCATTTCCCACTTTCTTGTTCGAGGTGGAACGGGAAAACTCAAACAAGAAGCTGGCGAAAGAGAAGCTGACTTCAACCTCGTAAGAAGTCAAATGTTGAGAGAAATCTTACAAGAAACTATTCTGCTTTTGCGGAAAAGTTTCCTGCCAGAGATGCAAGAAAAGCAGCTATACCTGAGCTAAAGCAAAAAGCAGAGCAAAAAAAGTCTGCATTTCCGTTTATATTTTAAGCCTGTACTGGGACATTAGCACATATTGAGACGTATTTGCGGCCAAGATGGTAAAACGTTACTTCAGTAAAATGGACATAATGTTGTGGCTCCTAAGGTGATTTGATTTTTGTTGAAAGGACAAAATGGCTCTACTTTACATTTATGTTGCCGACCCCTGGTCCAGACTATGAAGGTAGTACAGAGCCTGAAGAGTCTTTAGCTTTAGCATCTGTTTATTTCAGTGACATTTGCTCAATAGCATGTATCCTCAAAAATCTGTCTTGGACCCCATCATCTTTGCTTCATGTGGACCTTCTTCCAGCGTCAAAATTTTAACCCATGACAATTTGTAGTAATTTCTGTAACAGTGCTCATTGGCTAATGGCACTACAAGGCAACATGTTGCTCAACAGCTGAGCTTGGGTACAAACCACATTCATGCAAGAGCAATGATGTGAAAGCTGAGAGACAGGGAAACGATAATCGCTGAGAGGAAGATATTTATTATATCATAACAAAGAAATAAAATATACTGCCACACTCCATCCTCACTTATTACCACTGGTTTGATGGTATTTACTGAATATTAAGCTGTGACATTAATAATAAACTTTGAGTTTAAGCGTTTATGTCAGGGGTGTCCAGCCTTATCCACAAAAGGCCAGTGTGGCTGCAGGTTTTAATTCCAAACAAGCAGGAGCACGCCTGATTCACAGTTTACAGTTTAATCTGTAGGTCTCAGCCTTCAAACAGCTGGTCAGGTGATCTCCTGTTTGTTGGAATGAAAACCTACAGCCCCACCGACCCTTTGTGGGTAAGATTGAACACCCCGGGTTAAGCCTTTCAAAATGTTTGTTGCTGCGATAGATAACTTTTAAAGGAGTGAAAACACAATAACCTGTTTTATTGGGTAGTGTGAATAGAGCTTAATGTTGCATCACTTCTCGCTCTAGAATAAGACGTTGCCCCTGGAGAACACCACAGACTGCCTGAGCACCATGGCCAGTGTCTGCAAGGTTATGCTGGAGACGCCGTGAGTATTCAGTCAATTCTCCCCTCATTTCCTCCTATTTCACTCTTCTGAATAACCGTTCATTTTTCTATAGAGGTAGAACTGGTTTCCAGCTGGAGGTTCTGTGTTTAGTGGTTCTGTGTTTGTTTCTCCAGTATAGCACCAAGTTTAAGGCATTCTTTGAGAGGCTTTGAGAGCTTTGAAGGCTCATGAAGTGATTTTTGTTTTTTAGAGAGTACACAAGCCGGTTCAATAGTGAAGACACACTGCTCTTCTGCATGCGGGTGATGGTGGGCGTTATAATTCTCTACGACCATGTGCATCCCAACGGTGCCTTCACCAAGTCCTCAAAAATTGATGTGAGACTGTCATGCTACGTTTGAACTTTGTCACTATAGTTTTCGTTTAGTGGCTGGACTATATTATATTTATGGAGTTTTTAAAGCATAATGATTTCATGTACCATTTGTTCTTCACAGATGAAAGGATGCATAAAGGTCCTGAAAGATCAACCAGCTGATAATGTTGAAGGTCTCCTTAATGCCTTGAAGTAAGTTCTCGCTCTGTGCAGACAAATCAGCCACACATCACTGGATTTGTTCACTTTTTTAAGGTGGCACAAATTTGGCAATTAATTTAAAGAGCGTATGTCTTGGGAAACTGAACTTCTCTCACTTTTTTAAAGTAAGAGTTTGACATTCTACGTTAACCTTGTTAAAGCCTGAAAACGTACTATCCATTCCGAAGTCAGTGCACTTCATATGGGGAAATTGAGCTGCCAAAGGGGCTGTTTTGAATGCATCGTTTTATGATAATAAAAAGGCAATGCTTTTACATACATTCACCTATTCAGCCTACAACAGTTTAGCTCCGCCCATTCACTTTGAACTTATAAGGAGGTTTCAGTTTCATTAGTTGCTGAACTGTTTGTAGTAATAGTTAGTAAAGAATGGGGCACAATACAGGGAAGGTAGTCAGAACGAAATATTTTCATATTGTTGCTGTCCAAAAATAAATCTGTGTCCAAAATGGTAACTTTACAAGAGAATGAAACAGCATTTTTTTTAAATATCATTGTAGCAAGCTCTTATTCCAAGTAATTTGGACTATTTCTATTAGTCCATTTAATATGAAATGTTTACACAATGTCAGAGACAGCTACTGTCTCTTAAATAACATAGAAAAACATATCGCTGTTGTCTGAAGAAAACCTTGTGTCTCCAATTTTGAGATTTTTTTCAGTTTTTGGCAGTTTGAAAATACTTGTTACCCTTCAGATTGTGTGTAAATTTAATGAAGAATGGACTAAAAGAAATGACTCAAAATGACTTGGGGGAAAAAGTTTGGTTCCTTTGACTTACATTAAAAGTAAAGTAGATTTTTTTTCTTCTCCTGTAAGGTTACTGTTTTGGACATACAAGGTTTTTTCTCCGACACCAGCGATAAATAAAAAAATTGAGGTACAGGTTTTTGATATGACTGCAACGATCAATCAGTCGTAAAGGCACAGTAACAAAAACAGGCTTTTTATTTCAGAGGAATAAAGAGGTTGTAAAATACAAAATGTAAAGATGAGGTAATTATGACTGCATTATAAACATAACCAAGTTTTAAGTGGGCATCAGGGTAAAAAAAAATATAGTAGTAAAAAAGTAGTATATGGCATGTTTTTAATATGAAAAAAAAAAAACTTTAAAAATCAACAGTGTGCTTGGGCTCTTACATTGGTACTTATGAAATTTATCCCCCCCCCCACTTTTGTTCCAGATTCACCACAAAACATCTGAATGACGAGTCCACTCCAAAAAATATCAGAACAATGCTCCAGTAATGTTTTTTTTTGGTTTGTTTTTTTTTTTAAAGCGAAGAGGATCAATGTACAAACCTCAAAAGATGTATATGTTTACATTTATTTAAGGACTTGATGTTAATACTTGTGTGTATTTACATAGCCATTCCCTCCAAGTTACTGCAATGTAAAGAAAATGTACCTTTATTCAAGACTGAACAAACTGCCTAAACTGTCTGTCAAAGCACAAATTAATGAAACCACGCAGCCTTACAAACACTCATGATATCGTTCTCAATGTTGCTTTCAAATCAAAAACGGTGATCGTTGTAACCAAAGGGGCTAATGCGTTGTGTGTATGAGTGAGTGTGTGTGTGTGTGGAGGGGTGTGTTCAGGTGAAGTGTTGCGTGAGGTGCAGTTACGCAGTGAGAAGTTAAATATTCAGTGAGTGAGTAAGAACTGTTTGTGCTTTTGTCATGATTGAAAGGTGAAAAGACAGTTCAGTAATGCTAGAGGAATAGTGATATTACCAAAAGCTTTTTTTTTCTTTTCTTTATTTTTTTAATTGTGGTTTGACACTTTTTGTTGTATTCTTTTTCTATATGTGATGTGTGCTCTTCTTGTTTGTGTGCCTGTGTCTCTAACACACATTCATTACTCATCACCACAGCTTTAAAATTTGAAATAAAATGACATTTTGAGTATATTTTAAGTGGGAGCATCTGGGAGTTTATTCACAATGTACATACAAATGATGGCAATACTCATGAGTATCGTGGGCCAAGCATGTCTGTGCACTGTGCACTCATTCAAAGGGTGTCATAAAGACAGAATCTATATTTTATAATAATATGCGGTGACACTTTATTTTGAGTGTTTCCTTTTAGATTAAACAAAACAGTCAACAGACTCTCAGTAACGTCAAAAACATGAGGGTTAGGATTAGGGTTGAGGTTAAGATTAGGGTTAGGATTAGGGTTGGGGTTAGGGTTAGGATCAGGTTTTGGGTTGAGGTTAGGGCTAGGATTAGGGCCAGGGTGAGGGTTAGGTTTTGAGTTGAGGTTAAGGTTAGGTTAGGATTAGGGCCAGGGTTAGGATTAGGAATAGGTTTTCGTAAGGTTAGTAAGATTAGGTTTTGGTTTAACTTAACAACACATCTTAATGTAATAATAACAATGTAATTTATGTATCAACAGAACAGCTACAAGATATTTACTTCAGTGTAGTCGGATACTTCACTAGTGCTACTTCACTGATATGTTGTTGATGTGTTACTGATAATCTATTAAGAGTTTATTAATCATCTACAAAGGACCACTCCAAACAAAAGTCGTCAGTTACCAGAGTTCTATGAAAAATCTCATTTCCACACCTTCACCCTTACCCTAAGTGTAGTACAACAGCCAAGCCATGTTTTGTATCTCAATTTTTGTCAGAAGTCTGGGTTTGCACCCTCACTGCTTTGTAAACAGAGATTTCTAAATAGAATAGATAGAACATAAAATACATAAAACATAAGTGACTCTATTTATGTCTATGCATTTCATAGCTAAAAGCAGCTGTAATTTTGTCTCTACCTTTGTGCATTCTTATAGAGAACACTATCATACAGTGTCAGAAACCACATAGGCAAGACTATTACAACTCAACACTTTAATAACCTAATCCACTTTACACTCTCAGAAATAAAGGTAGTAAACTGTTACTTGGCGCAGTGCCCCTCTTGTCACTGGGGTGGTTCCCTCAAGGATATATCTCAGTACCTTTAGTCAGAGAACATAACTGAACCATAATCCATTGAAATGATATGTTCTAAGTTGTACTGACTCCATACACCCCGTCTCGTCTCCAGGCTTTTTATTTTATTGTTCTGTTTTAAAACATTCGGTTATGAAAAGGTACAAAAACGTACTTTTCACCTGGAAAAACTTATTTAAGGGACACAACTGGACCTTAAAACCACTGATGTACCTTTGAGGGAACATTTACATTGTTTGTACCTTGATGAACAGAAAATGTACCTGCACAGAACCTTTATTTCTAACAGTGTAATAAAAACAGGCTTTTAATACTGGACAGGGCAGCCCTTTGCTCTCAGAACAGCCTAAATTCTTTGTGCCGGTCTGAAACAAGCCTGACCGTTCTAAGACCTGTTTGATCATCAAGGTGTTTTTGCCCACAAAACTGCAGCTCACTGGATGTTTTTTTGCATTATTCTCTGTAAACTGTAGAGCGGGGGTGTCGAACTCAACGAGTTAAAGGGCTATATTAAAAAATCGTATCAAATCTGTGGGCCGGAGAAAGAAGGGTTTTTTAATTAATGTTGTGCTGTAACCCAAACTGTTTTAAACCTACCTATCTGCTTGAACTAAAACACCTGGCATCCTTTGCTGCATGTTCATTAAAACCTGGGCTTAATTTCTGAGCTGCTGAGCTGAAGTTAAGTGTTTATGTTGGTTGAACTGCAGCTGAAATGCAGCTAGTGTGTTTGGTGACATGACTGGTGTAGAATTGTGTGGAACCGAGGTGTAACCACTGTCCCATACATTGTTGTTGGGGTAGGATAGTCAGAGTGCACTGTGAAATGGGCTATTAATACAAAATTAAAGTGCTTCTGTGGGCCGAGGGCCTGATTTGGCCCGCGGGCCTTGTGTTTGACACATGGGCTCTAGAGAATGTTGTCACAAATCTGCCTGTCTGGCACCACCAACCCTGCCACAAAGTCACTTAACCACATTTTTCCCCCTTTCTGATGTATGATGTGAACATTTACTGAAGCTCTTGACGGGTGTGTCTGCATGATTTTTCGCACTGCTGCCTCATGATTGTTTGACTGGAGAACTGCATGGCTTAGAATGGCCTAATAAAAGTGGGTTTAAACTGTGTGCTTCCTATTTCCCACCTCAAAGCATTCGTGCAGTTCTTCTGTTTGAGGTTGGGAAAACAATGGATGCTCGCTTAAAAGCTGAACACTTCCCAGTTCCCTCTTGCTCATAAATGCAGCTTTAGGCATGCAGTTTGTAACTTCCCAGTTGGTAGGGCGTTAGCTTCCATTACTTGTTAGTCTTGTAGCTCCGGCTCAGAACTGAGGTGTAATGTTCAGACACTAGACGTGTCTTTGCAAATCTTCTACACTTGGGATAAAATGGAAATTGTGTAAATTATATTCTTCACCAAACTTTATTTTATATGTACACCGATTAGACATAACGTTATGACCCCCTCCTTGTTTCTACACTCATTGTCCATTTTATCAGCTCCACTTACTATATAGGTGCACTTTGTAGTTCTACAGTTACAGACTGTAGTCCATCTGTTTCTCTGATACTTTGTTAGCCCCCTTTTACCCTGTTCTTCAGTGGTCAGGACCCCCATGGACCCTCACAGAGCAGGTACTATTTGGGTGGTGGATCATTCTCAGCACTGCAGTAACACTGACGTGGTGGTGGTGTGTTAGTGTGTGTTGTGCTGGTACGAGTGGATCAGACACAGCAGTGCTGCTGGAGTTTTTAAACACTCACTGTCCACTCCATTAGACACTCCTACCTTGTCAGTCCACCTTGTAGGTGTAAAGTCAGAGACGATAGCTCATCTGCTGCTGCAGTTTGTGTTGGTCATCCTCTAGTCCTTCATCAGTGGTCACAGGACGCTGTTTGCGGGATATTTTTGGTTGGTGGACTATTCTCAGTCCAGCAGTGACACTGAGGTGTTTAAAAACTCCAGCAGCACTGCTGTGTCTGATCAACTCAGACCAGCGCAACACACACTAACACACCACCACCACATCAGTGTTACTGCAGTGCTGAGAATGATCCACTACCTGCTCTGTGAGGGTCCTGTGGGGGTCCTGACCACTGAACAACAGGGTAAAAGGGGGCTAACAAAGTATGCAGAGAAACAGATGGACTACAGTCTGTAACTGTAGAACTACAAAGTGCACCTATGTAGTAAGTGGAGCTGATAAAATGGACAATGAGCGTAGAAACAAGGAGGTGATCATAATGTTATGCCTGATTGGTGTAATACTGAAATTAAGTAAGCAGGTGGTCTCGGCATGTGAGGCATCTCTTACTCTTCTCATCAGCCAAAATTTATGTTAAGCAATGTTATATTTGGACAGCAGGAACATCCTCACATGAATTAAATGTTTGAAAAGCTCATTAAATGAAAGTTGAATATAATGAACAACCACCCATTTAGACATTTGTTGACATGCTGTAGCTGTGCTGCACAATATGACTCATGAAGCAGCCTGCCGTTTTATTTTTGAACACATGATGGCAGCATTTCACCTTATGTCAAAGCCTTGTACCTGACCATTCAAATGGAAACGACATCCAACCAGAGAAAACACAATATATTTGTACTTTAGTGTTTAGTGATGTCTGTAATAAGATTCTGCTTTGCAGCCCAGTATTTTGACACTTTAATAAGTGTGACAGCCGCTTTACTTCGTGGGCCAGCAGGTATGTTCCCTCCTGCTGAAATGCGGCAGTGATGGATGAATGCAGTGCTATCCATGTCAGCCGAGACGCTGTTATAGTCTCCCAAATCACTGCAGATGGAACTTTGTTGTGAGGAGGGCTATGATAGCATGAGAATGAACAGAATGGCATTTGAAAACAGGTACTTTCTGACAGGACTGGCACAGTGACAGTGTCTCTGTCCTTTCAGTGTCTCTGTCCTTTGCTGCCACTCCTCATTGTCCCCTCATATAGTGCCTCCCATCAGTAGAGTGTTGAGGTTTTTCCCTTGTACTAGGCTGTTCAACACACTTAGACACGTCTCCCTCCCACCAAAATCCACCCACCCAGCTTTCCTCGCTGCCAACCATCTCAGATCTTGAAACTTCAAAATACTCTACAAGCTCTCTTTTGGGAGCGTGAAATAATGAGTTTCGAGTCTCTAGTCACTGTGTGGACTCCAGTGGGGGAGCATGAAGAATGGCTGCAGCACTGTTAAATGATAAGGGACTAAAAGACGCATTGAACTCCTCCCCAGTGGTCTTGCTGCATAACCTGCTTCCGTACATAGCCCTACCCCTGTACCTGCACAGCCCTGGTACAGGCAACCCTGTTGGTAACATTTAGGAATGCAAAATGATATCGGAATCATATTGGAATCAGCAGATGCTTTAAAATAAATAATTGGAACCAGATTGATGTTTAGATTTTTCCTCTACTGATGTTTGATGACGTATTTATTGTGCACCAGATGAGCTCAATGTTCAGGAGATGCTGGTCTACTGTAATAAAATATCTTTTGCTTTTACTGCATTTGTAGAAATCAGTGTTATTTCTTTGTAATGCTAATTTTTTTTTGTTTTATAGATGTTTACCAATTGCCAATGCAATAAATAATCACAATTTCTATATTGATGCATCCCTAATGATGTTGTACAGAACCTCTAAAAGGATGTGGTGTGTACCAGATAGCATCAAAGAGTATCAAATACCATTTGGTGAACACCAGATACTCTGTGGTGAGCAGCAGATACTATAAAAGAAAAATACACCATGTCCGTATCTGGTCCTCACCACATAGTATTTGGTGATTACCTGATAGTATCTAGCACTCATCGCACAGTATCTGGTGCCCACTTGATAGCATGTGGTACTCGCTACAAAGTACTTGGTGCTTTCCAGATTTTTACCTAAAAATACACCATGTCCTTTCAGAGGCTCTATAACATTGCCATTATAGGGTTGTAAAATACAA